TCGCAGTGGTTTAAATTGGCGGTGGCGGCGGTGGTTCAGATTGGTGGTTGTTCAAACCGTTGATGGTCGACGGTGTCAAGCGTTGATTCAGATCAATGGTAGTTGTCGATGGTGGGCAGTGGTTCAGATCGGTGGTGGTCCATGGTGCTTCAGGTGGCAGTGGTCGGATGTGGTTCAGATCGGTGATGGTCGGCGGTGGTTCAGATTGGTGGTGGCCGACGGTGATTCAAATTGGTAATAGTTGGCGCTGATTCAGATCGATGGTGGTCCGTGGTGGTTCAGGTGGCGATGGTCAACAGTAGTTCAGATCGGTGGTAGTCCATGGTAGTTCAAATAGCTGTGATCAACGGTGGATCAGATCGGTGGTGGTTTAGATTGGTGAGGGCCGATGGTGGTTCAGATCGATAGTGGTTGGCGGTGGTTCAGATGGAGATGGTCGGCGGTAGTTCAAATGGTGGTGGTTCAGCTTGACGGTGGTCGAAGATGGCCGACGATGGTCATATTAGTTTTTATGAAATTAGCGTATATTGGGTATTTCGTATTATGAAAATAGATAATTTTATTCTATCAAAATACCAAGGAATGTTAAATTTCTTTATTTGTGGAATTTGTAGGATTTTGAAGATTTTTTCGTGAAAAAGAATGAACCAAACGGGAGAATAAAATTTGGTCTATGGAATTCAACATTCCAATTCCATCATATTCCTACGAAATCTGTGAATCAAACTGCCCCTAAGGCATTGCTTAGTAAAAATAAGTTAACTTATAAATTATCTTATGTTTTGATTACACGTTTGGATAGACATAAGATAGTTTATTGAAACGTTAGTTGGAGTAGCTTATTAAGAGTTTTTTTTTTAATCATTTTTTTCAATTATAATCTTCATTAATATTTATTATAAATAAAAATTAATTATTAATAAATAAAAATAAAACATAATTATTACGGATATTATTAAATATTAATTAGTAGTAATTGATATTATTTGAACATTATTAATTAATTTTAATTATATTAATATAAATTATTAATTATTTAGAATTATTGTTAATCATATCAATTATTTTTATATTTTAATTTTTAATTATTATTCGATATATTTAATAATAAAAACAAATATAACAATTCTATAATGTTTATGCAACAAGAACTAGCTTCCCAAGTAGTTTGCTAAATATAGCCTAAACCACTAATTTCATGATTTTGAGTCTAAATAGTAATGGTTCTCCAAGATGTGTACATATTAGAAAGAAACAACTAATTTCATGATTTTCGAGTTCAAATAGAGAATCTGTTGACGTTGAATGTAATTTTTTCTAAATATTTTAACTGTTGATTCTCTATTTTGAAAAAATCATAAAAAATCTGTTGGAGTTACTCTGAAAATTTTCAATTTTGGATAACTCCCTAAAAATAATTACAATTACAGAGATTTTTTTTGATCATATTAATACCAATAAGAAACTTTGAACTTGAATGTTTAGAAAATAAAATTAATATTTTACTAAATATAGAAAACATATAAGAATACTATTTTAATGACATTAAAGTGAAAGTTTAAAAGTGATAAAATACAATAAATAAATTTAAAAGCGTGGATAAAATGTAAAGGACACGTATTTCGTCTTTTAGAAGAGATTTGAGTTTTCTTTTGAAGGTGTATTAGTAACATGTAGGCTTGTTCCACTTTGTTCTAGGTGAAAGGGGTGGATTCATGTATGTTGCACATAGAAGTCATGCCAAATATGAAACAATGATTCGTATTATGTTATGTTCTGTTGGTCTCTAATGGGTTAATGACTTGTAACTGTTTGTAGGGGGTGAATACAAACACATCAAATTTTTACTTTTTAATTCTATATTTTCTATTAAAACAAAGAATTACAGATTTGTTACAAAAACTATGAAAGTAAGACATGTGATGCTAAACAATCTGACTGGTGACAAATTTACTAACACTAAAATAGTAAGAAAGGAAGACACTATTTCAGATCTAAAGAACTAAGATAGTCTTTAGAAGTTAAGACGTCGATTTGCAAGAGTATGCACTCAACAATTCTTCAAGTTGCATATGATCAAACGACCGCACTTTATAGCAGTCCATGCATTTAATACAACAATGCAACTTCAACGCGTGTCTTCATTTAATTTGTTGATCCATGTATCTTTGTACTTTTCATATTAGCCATTTGATATGATGTAGACACTTGTTGCTTTAACCCATCATTCTGTATGCCGAATGAACAATAAAGAAAGTATGATACTAATAAAACAGTACTTTTGAATTTGTTTTGGCTGACATGTTAAGCATGTTCCCATACAAGGACATGGGTTGGAACCTTACTCCCTAAGTTTACTTGTCAAGTCTCCATCTGTGCTTTTGTGTGCAGAGTGAACAATAAAGTAAGTGAAAATATTAGTTACTTTGTTTGACATGCTGAACATGTTCCCACACTAGGATTTAGAGATGGTAAAAGAAACTTGGTTCTAAAGTCTCGCTTCAAATCGGCTTGCTAACATTTCAGATCCTTTTTGTATATTGGATAGTAGACAATAACTTGAAATCGTAATTTTTTTTTATAAATTTTTAATCAAATTTATTATGTATTATTAACAAATCCTATGATTGAGACCAACATGTTCAATCATGTGCAGTGTACCAAACACATACCAATCTTTTTTTACATTACAACGACATATATTGGTGGTTGCCCGTGCTACCCATTGCTTAAGCGTAGACCTGCCCTTGCATTTATCTTGTGTTGAGCCGTTGAGGTTGCAAATAAAACAGAAAAGAGAGCTCGTGAAAAAGAAGGAATGGAAAAGAAATAAGATGATAAAATATATATGTTTTTATTTTTTATTATAACAAATCAATCTGGTTAATTATTTTTATCAGAGTACAAAACATAAGTGATGATAGTCGCACAATTCATTTTTTGGTAATAATATGTTTAAACTTACTGTTGGGGAGAAACATTGGCCACAGGTTATGTTATTTACGGATTGGATTTTGCGCTCGGCCTTGCCATTTTGAGGGGAAGTATGAGGACAAGATAGCCTAGAATTCATACCATGGAGTTCACATAGTTTTTGGAAAGAAGAGTTGGCATATTCCCAACCGTTGTCATTTTGAATATTTTTCTATCTCCTTTTTCAAACTGGGTTCGAATAAAAGTGCGGAAGGTGGAATAAACTTGTGACTTATGTTTGAGTGGGAAAGTCCATAAAAAAAATAGTATAATCATCCAAAAATAAAACATAATAACGATGTCCAAGTGAACTCACAATAGGAGAAGTCCAAAGATCCGCATGAATTAAATCAAATGTGAAATTAAATGAAGAATAAAATGGCAACTGAACATGTTTCCCAAGTTAACAACCATGACAAAGTGAATAACTACGAGTCTTATTACAATTTATAAGATTTTTATTTCTAAGAGAATAAAAGACGAGTGCTCCTGGATGACCTAGATGTTCATGCCAAATAGACGATGAGATAGCAACAAAAGAGATTGGGTTGGCGGTCCAAGTAGAAGCGACTGTGATAGGATAGAGATCACCATAGCTATTGCACCTCATGAGATGTAGCCCCGTCTGGAGGTCATTCATAGAACCACAAAAGGATCAAATTCAACAGATACAAAATTATCCATAGTAAACTGACGAACAAATATAAGGTTTTTAATTAGTTTAGGAGCATGCAAAACATTGGTAAGGGAAAAAGGAGGGTATGGTGGGGATAGGTAAGATTGCTCATAACTGGAGATAGGAATCATGTGACAATTACTGATTGTAATATTTTGTTCGTTCTCAAATTAAAATTGGACGAAAGAGTACCTTGGTTGGATGTCATGTGCAAAGTAGCACCCATGTCCATATACTAGTTATTGTCATTTGGGGGACTGCATGTCATGGTGTGGAGAACAATATCAATATATGTTGGAGCAAAATCAGAAGACGATGAACCACAAAAAGCATGTTGTGGTTTTGGACCTAACACACTCGGTGCTGTAGAAGACGAGCGTAAAGATCCTTGTGGTTTGGTCCATGGTTGCTAGGATAGGGACATGGTGGAATGCTCCATGGCTGTTGCTCCATGGTGCAATATATACATTATACAATTACATTTATCATGTGTGTTTTTCATATACACATATTTTCAATTTATTCACATCTCTATATAACTCATTCATATATATGTTCAGTAATTGTGAACATATATATGTAGATTGAGAAAATTAACTGAACGCGATATATGTAAGTAATATGGATAAGTTGTATCAAATGTTTGACGCTGAAAAAGAAATTATGAGTAAAGAAATAACATATTAAAGGTTAAAATAATATTTGAATGTACCAACGTATCAACCCGACCAATTTGTACGGTTTGGGTTAAGAATTTTCAAACCGCAAACATTGGGTTGAGTTGTTCAAATGTCTTCAACCCGATTAACCCAACCCATGAGCACCCCTAGTTATAAATGATTATTTGGTAGTGGCTTAATGATATATAAAATAACTTATTCAGTAGGCTTCTAGGAGGAGCTTTATGCAGAAAACCAATTTTTTTCCAAACCTGTCTCTCCCAATTAAAAACGTGTTCGTTCTATCTATGATAAACCCTTTCAAACAAAACCGAATTCCAAACAAAAACCTTCTAATTCTATACAAATATATTAATCCACACAGTTAGCATTACTCGAACAACACTTAGAATATGTTTGTTAGCAGTTTATTCGGCCGGTTTATACTTTATACATGACCTTTGGTAGTTGTTTAATGATATAAATAATGACTTATTCAATAAGCTTTTAGGAGAAACCTGACGTGAAAAACCAAGTTTTTTTCAAAGTTGACCCTTCAAAATAAAAAACACGATCTTTTAATTCATCTAGGCAATTTTATCGAGTTAATGAAAAATTATAAAGAAAAGGAAAGAAAGTAAGGATTTAAAGGAAAAAAAACCTTTCTGATTGCCTTCTCGTCTCACCATAAATTGTCACACAAGTTTGCTCCACCGACGCCGGACGATCTCTCCGTGGCACGCCACCTTGAGGACCTGCGCTGCTGCTTTGCACTCCTCCAATCGACGAAAAATCAGGTATTCCTCCCAACAACTTTTAGTCTCTTACTCTTAAGATTAGATCTTACCTTTGTGTCCATGGTAGGTTTCTCCGATGACAGTATGAGCTTGTTAATATAGAATGCGTTCTTAAAATTTTATTTCAGCGTGTCAAATCTCTTGTGTATAGGTGTTTTATGTGCTATCGTCGTAGTGTGTGTTGAAACCCTAATTGAGCGAAAATTGGGACATTGATATGCAATTCGACACTTATATTTTCATTTTTGTTTGTTTATGTTCATATTTGTGCATCTGTGGTGTTTTATTAAAATTTTGGAACCCTAAATGGTGAATTTTGGAGTGGGTTGTTTTCTGGCAGATAATACTTGGATAATTTTAAAGACGCGATTTAGTAAATGCACTGGGGCATATCCATAAGACATAGAGGAAGAGCGGTTCACTTCCTATCATAAGATTGATTCGAATACATATTAACCAAGATAACTATGTCCATGACTAGCTGTCCATGCAGTATGTAGGCAAGCTATCTTCAACAAAAATTTTCATCTCATTGCACATCATATTGGCTTTGATTCTGTTTGAACGGACCATTCTCTAATTTTCCTACCCTTAATAGTATCTTTCCAAGTTACACCACTTGACACATGAGTTTTATTGGATTAGTGCCTAACATTGTTTAAAGTGGATATTTGGCACCAGTAACTTATATTGTGTTACTACCTGTCCTGATTATGACTTTACATTTACACAAGACGTTCAATCATATTTCTTAGGAAGGTCAAAGTCCATAAGACTAGAATTTTAACCACTACAAATGGTCACCAGGTGCTACCATATTTTTATTTCATTCAAGTCAAGGCCATTGAATCCCCTTGATTCTTATTACAATATCCAAAGCCTCCATGAAGAATACTTTCAGAACTACAGTTACTTTTGACATGACCATTAGATTCTTAAATGTAAAAAGCTTTAATTATAGGCACTTCTCTAATCTAAGGTGTGAGCAATGTAGCACATGAGGTTTTGTGCCCTTATTAAGAGGCAAAGAATCATTACCCGACACACAGAGCTGACAAAATGAATCAATTTATTTCCTTTGTCCAATTCTTGAGTGACAGTTGTTCACCTTTCTTCTTTCGTCAGATATATAATAGCTCAGTTGATGGAAACGGTGAATGGCATGTGTGTCAATGTGGAATATGGCCCATGGCACCTGTTACATAACGTCTCTCTTTTTTGCCTAACCTTTTGTGAGTGGAGCGGAGATGAACGAGATAAAGATGGAATGAGGAGGCAAAGGCGAAATAAAATTTAGAGAGACAATCGCATGCCTTGTTTTGCCATCTTGGGATGACTTCAAAAATTTCGCGTTCCACACCTTATTGACTGTAGATATTTTCATGTAAATGCTATTTAGAAAACACAAGTTCATACAATTCTCTATATCAAAATGACAATTAAGTTTGGTGAATATTTGGGACTTATCTTTTGTCAAAGCATATACACATTCTTTTTGGTGGTAGTATTTTGATAATCCTTTTGTGGTTTAATGTACTCTATTCCTGTCGGTTATTACATTATTTTTATTTTTTATTACCTTTTAGTTAACAAATAAACTTTTAACATGAATGTAAAGTAATAATACATATATTATTAGAGATGCTAAACTAAGGACTAATAATATAGTTTGTCAATCTAGTTGTGTAACATAACAATGAATCGTGTTCAATTTTTTTCCACACTTGAAAATATTTATTCACATTCTTGTTCCATGCATTGAGTTAGTAACTAATGATCACGTGATTCAATTTTGTTATGCCAAAATAAATGTGTGGCTTGTTTTATATACTTTTCTTGGTCTACTAAAATTGTGTACGCCGCATTCTGGATGCTGTGGATTTTTCTTTTGTTTGACGTCATGCCTGCGCCGCTTGTGGTAACTACCATGTTGACTACTTCATTTAAGTCTTCATAGAGTTGTCTCTTGGCACTCTTAGTTGAGGGGCATATGTAGCATTGGCATTTATTAAACTCATGCACTAATAGGGTAATGAAAATGATCCCGTTCCTTTCTCTTATAACCTCAAACAGCAATACCTATAACTTCTGAAGCTGTTATCTACTACAGTTTCTACTCCATCTCTCTTTCTTTCCTTTCCTATATAGCAAAAGTTAAACTATGTTTTGTCTAGCTTCTTAGCTTTTCACCTACCCTCTTAGTTTCTTAGATATATTAATTATCTCTCTTTCTTTCCTTACCAACTATTTACTAAATTCCCTTCCAAGAACCCTGCATTACAGATGCTCAAAACAATCATATTGACCTCACTAGCTGTAGAACTCCTCGCACCTGTCCAATAAAGTAACAAAACCCTGCTCATCTTTTATCTAGTTGGATGGCAGTTTGCATGCGGAATTAGGGAGTGACATCAAACAGATTGAACCTTGCTTATTTAACGTCAGGTTTATTGCGGTGCATTGCTGAGTGGGCAATCCCTGATGGGATAACACATTTGTTCCATGTATTCTAATCAATGCTTTCATGTCATTTTTGTTTCCTAATGTACTGGCAAAGCGATGTTTGTTCTCTCTGTAGTTTAGAGTGAATTACAAAAATGATCTCCACAGTTTTTGTCACCACTTGATGGTTTTGCACTTTTCTTTAGAAAATGTCATACTAACTTTGTGTAATTGTCTTCTATAGTCTATTTCCTTCAAAATGATATGTGACATGAACATAACTTGTATTTAGGAGTATAATAGCCATTATTGTATGAGATATTAAAAATAATTTTAATTCTATTTATTGAAAAAACAAACTAAAGAATCAATTCATCTTTTTTTCACTACATCTACATACATAAACCGGTAGACCTCTAGTCCGTGGGTTGTTCTTGAAACTTATCTCCCTTTGTTCTTCCACAACTTTCTTATTTGTGTTTCTTGTTTGTTTGCCTCTCCTCCATTTAGAACCAAATTCGGGTTTATTATGTCTAGACTCTAGATAATATAAAAATTGCAACATAGTTAGAAAATCTTTACTTTGTTGTTTAGAGTTGACTGGGGAAAAATATATTTTTTTAAATCGAAAACCTGATGCTTGTATCACAACACACATCCATTTAGCAAAATATTGTTTAAGCAGCTTCTGCCAAGAAACTCTTGTGTCTGCTGAAAATGCTGTAGGGGTATTTGAAGATATTGGCGTTGAGCATAAAGGTCGAAAAATTTCTTGTTTGGGAATTCCTTTCTGTTGTCTGACTCAAATTTTAAGGAGAATATTTGCAAATGTAATTGTTGTTGCGGAATTTTCTTTCGTGGTTCATATGCATAGACATATGCACAGATACAAAGTCATGGAGACTTTGCACATAGATGCACAAATGTAACTTGAAAATGAAAGAGACAGTGGAATTTTGTGTGTTCCACCTTCAAAATGAAACTGGAAATCAAATCAAAAGAGGAACGGAATAAATCTTAATCACACAAGTGAAAAATAGGTTTGGGGAGTGGGTTCTTTTTCGGGGGTAACAGTGTACAATATATATTATATGCGTGTATGTATATATAGCTGGGTTCATGTTAGAACAAATGAGTTCGGTGAGAACGGTTTGAACACTTCTTAGCCTTTGGATGAGTTTTTTTATATTTGACGGCTAAAAAAACGCAGATCTTCATCTACCTTTATCCGAAGGCTCACAAAAAACGTGAACTTTTTATCACCTTCACCTACTTTCACATACCTTCAGTCACCTTTGCATGTATGAATTTGTTAAAGTGTTAGTCACGGTGATACAAGTAGGGTATGTGGAGGTCGATGAAGGTCCATTGTTCTTACCAAAAAAAATATGTTCTCTTAAGAACCAACCCTATATATCTATAAATGGATGGATGTTTATATGTTTGTATACGTGTCAAAATGATTGTTTTGGCCCTACCTAAATGTCATTTGTATGACACACTATGCTCTTACAATGGTCAACATACAAAATCGCGATCAGTACTGCGATTTCAAATAGCGGTTATCGCGATGGTAAAGCGGTGGTATAGCGGTCCAAGAACAGCGGTTCATATAATAATTAGAATTATATATATGTATGCACATAATGTAAATAACTTAACATATTATGTGTAATCAATAGAAATATTCAACTTTCACATCAAAACATAACTTAAGCAAGTTAGTTTCACATAAATAAACTAAGATAAGTGTTCATGAACAAGCTAATTGCAAGCAACAGGTTCAACACCCAAATCAACATCATCTAATATGGTGACTTCTTCATCTATGTTAGCTTCCTCTTCATGTACAATGTCTTCATCATTTGAGTCATCCCTATACCGCTCTCTCTTACTTCTTGTACTTGGCCCCACTGCTTCATTACCTCCCATTGCTTCTCGTACACCTGACCAAAGAAGACCATCTCTAGCATCTACAAACTCTTGAAGTTCAACATCGGTTGGAACCACCCAATCATCATTTTCTTCCACCTCTCTCAAGAAAATAGAGATTTGTGGTGCCTCTCTAGTCTTTTATTGTATTGAATGAGTACAAGATCATTCAACTTTTTTTGTAGAAGACAATTCCTCTTCTTAGAGTGTAATTGAGATGATAAGTTATAAAAAATTACTCGAGTTGAAGTTTAATTGACTAATTTATTTTCTATTACAAAGAAAATGTACATGATCAAATGCACTCCAGTCGTGCTCACAAGATGAAGCACTACATGTTTGACTCTGAACACTGATTTAGCAAACTCTTTGGAGCAAAGGGGGTGTCGATACCATAAGAGCGCCACTATACATCTATGTTTTATATGTAGATTAAGTTAAAAAATACATTAATAAGTTAGAATATGTACATACAGTTACACACACACACACACACTTACGTGCTGCAACTTTCGCTCTATTTCTTATGGAAGCTGCAAATCCAAATTGCCCCTCTGATTCAATCTATTTATCCAGTTCTGATCTCAAAGTATCATTTTTCTCTTCATCCCCCACAAGCCGATCAATGGCCTCGTACAGTCTCGTCTTAGTATATCTATTGTTCTCTACTTCTAATTCTTATACATAATAGATGGTGGGGTTGAGGTAATATATGGCTGCAAATGTCCTAAAAGTTAACACCTGTAATTGTATTTAACTTCAAAATTAAATAACTGCATGCAAAGGATGATGAAGTTGGTCACTTCATTGTGCTTGAATCATAGACTACACTCTAGTGATCAATCTTTTGTGAGCGGTGCCTGTTAGATTCTTCTTAATTTGATCTTTCGATCTTTCCATGGCATCATAGATATAACCAATGCAAGGCTTCTCCTCGGTATCAACCAAACGAACAACATCAACCAACGGTGCCAGAACTTGACAAGCAAGAAAGATATTATCCCAAAATTCTTGCTTTGCTATTATTCTTTCAATTCTCTTTCCGATGGCCTTTTTTGCAAAATCGCTTTTCCTTCATTGTTCTGAAACAAACAAGAATCGAAGATGATGCCGGTTCTCATGTATGCTTTGGATAGTATAGAATTGCGTTTGCAAACCTTGTTACACAAGATCTGTGCAATTCTCTATTTCTGGTGAGCCTACGCATCATGTTCAAAATCCTTCTGTGGTTGTAAATATAAACCACAACGGTTCTTGCATCAGTCAAAACGCTCTTGATCTTTGGCACTTTCTCTCCTATATCTCCTATCATCAGGTTTGCACAGTGAGCTGCGCATGGTGTTCAAAACATCTGAGGATGTTGTTCAAAACATCTAAGGATGTTGTTCTTCTATTATTTTCTCAGCAGCCTTAAAGTTGGACCTATTGTCGGCAACAAACTAGTATAATTAACAAAAAGAAAAACAACTAGTTAATACACAATTATCAAATATCTTAATCTAAAGTCTAAACAAGATATTTATTAACTGCACTATGTTCTCCTCTCCGACATTCTCAATTACTTCGTTGAACATCTTTACAATTAACTGAGCATCTTTCACATGTTCCGATGTATCGGTTGATTTAAAATAGATTGTTCCTTGAGGACAATTGACCAAAAAGTTGATCAAGCTTCGACTTTTCCCATCAGTCCAAAAGTCAGACATAATAGTGCATTTTCTTCTTTTCCAATGCGATCGAAAGGAATCTACGAACTTGTTTGTATCTTCGAGTACATCCTTCAACAAAGTAACTCGAATATGATAACTCGGGGCCGACATGCCTATAAATGGTAGAAAAACATTTAGTAATTACCTTAACCTTTGAGGTGTATATCAAATTTTGAAATGGTAATTACCTTTTCCATATTCTCCAACTGCATTTATAAACCTTTGAAAGTTCTCATCATGCATGGCATTGAAGAGCAACCCCAATCGAATACGCCCAATTCGCAAACTCTTTCCAAGCGGTCATTTTCAGCTTCTCTTTGATTGGATTATTTCTATCCAATGTGCTTTGTTTTAGCTTGTCATAATTGGGCTTAGACATGGTATCAAGAGGACCACGAACATTGCTAGCGTCCTTTCTTTTCAAACCGCGAGATGCCCATTCAGATTGTGATTGCCCCCACCTTCAATCACTTCTATTTCATCATTTTCTTTCCCCTCATCATCACCTTCATCGGGTTCAAAAGAATATTGTTGAAGAATTTCCAACTTCCTCTTCTTTTCTTTTCTTTCTTTTATGTATCTTTTTCGTGCATCGATGCAAGGACTCTCTTCTTTATGTCATTACTTACATTAGGACAACCACTCACCTGTCCTCCCGTGTGAGTAAGATGTTGCTTCAATCTTGTGATGCCTCTGCATACTTTTTGTCACACAAAGTACACCATATATTAGCTTTCTTCAAAGGATCTGTCCACACACCCCATTCCCAAGCCATATCTCCATTGATGCATTTAGAATTAGATCCTGAATCCGATGTGGTCGTAGTAGTTGAAGTGTTCGGCGTGACGGATGCTTTCAAAGACGGACCACCATCCATGCTATTAGTGTTTTCCATGAATTTGTTTACCAACCACTTACCTAACACTCACTTGGAACTTGAAAGTGTAAATAGTAGGCAGTAGCAACATAAAACAATAGCAAAATACAAATCGAATATTCATAAACTAAAGTGGAAGTGTAAAACAGTAGCACTGTGGCAAAATAAATAACTAAAAATATTAAGTTAGTATAAAAAGTAGCAAAGTATTTTACGTAGAAAGGTTTTAAATAACAATAGCAAAGTAAGTAAGTAACTAATTAATAGTAAAAGTGTAAAACAGTAGTTGGTGTTTGGTTAAAAAACACATCTTAAGCTCAATTGCAGAGTAGAACCTCAATTTGTGGTAACTGGTAAAGGTAGAACCGAATAGTGGTAACTGGTAAAGGTAGAACCGTCGATTGCAGAGTAGAAGAATAGAACCGTCGATTGCAGAGTAGAACCTCAATTTATCGGTCGATTGCAGACTAGAAATAGAACTTGAGTCGAACTGGTAAGTCGATTGAAGAAGRWGCCRTGAAACCCTTGATCACGTCGAACTGAACTTGAAATAGAACTTGAGTCGAACTGGTAAGTCGATTGAAGAAGATGCCGTGAAACCCTTGATCATGTCGAACTGAACTTGAAATAGAACTTGAGTCGAATTGGTAAGTCGATTGAAGAAGATGCCGTGAAACCCTTGATCACGTCGAACTAGTGATGGCCAAACCGGCCCGGCCTGGGACCGACGGAGGACCGGGACCGGCCAAGGACCGGTTATAGGACCGAAATCTGGGACCGGTTATGGATTTCGGGTGTTTCGCGGGACCGGGACCGGTTATGGCCGGTTATGAGAAATCTTGGGACCGGTTGGGACCGGCCCGGCCTGGCCCGGGACTGGTTTTTGGCCATCACTACGTCGAACTGGTAACTGGTAAGCCGATTCAATGGATTAAATCCATTACAGCCCATAAAAATAAAAATAAAGCCCCACTTAAATAACTTATTATCAGCCCAACCTCAAAAGAAGCCCAACAGTTCTGAAAATTCATCTAATTGAAATAGCGTTTTTTTTTCACAGCTATTGCACCTAAAAATCATGGCCAAAAAGCGGCAAATAGCGTCGATTTTAGTGGCGCCGCGATTTGAAGCCGCTGTTTGACCACCGCGATTCACCGAACCACCGCTAACCAAGATACCACCGGTTAAGCCGACTTAACAAATTTGGTTTGTCCAAAGTGATAAACGATTTTATACTGAAGGACCAGAAGTGCAAAATTTCAAATCGAGTGATCAAAGTTAAGAAATAGTCTGGGACCCTTTTTGTCATTCACTCTTTAGTCTACGTTAATATGGAAAAGGTAAGGTTGTTCTATATGGACAACACTTTTCCTTAAAAAGCAATAAAACAAAAACACTTATTGGATGCCATCACAGTTCCACTGAGATTGTTTTGGGAACTTTTATACAACCGAAGCCATATTCAGTCTCTTCTTGGTCTTATGAAGGATCAAAGTCAATTATGTTATATGAATTCCCCCAAGTTGCACTTTGTTTATATATCTGGTACCTCCCATCCTTTCTATGATTAAAAAGATGAAGCAATTTGTTGCCCTCTTTTCAATTTAGTATTTTTGGTACAGGTAGCTAGATTCATATTATTCCTGATCTTGTGAAGGCGCGGTGATTATTATGTTGAGAAACTCAAACTGACTGTAAAGCAAACTACAATCCAGATGATAGAAATGTAAATGAAGATTAAGAAGATGAACTCATATATTGATGATGGGAATACTCAAAGAAGGAACAGTAATAACATAGTTCTAGGGAATATCCCTCTCTTAAAATGGTCAAGCTGAGAGCCAAAATAGGATATCAATATTCATATCCACACCCAAGCACTCCACGGACTTCTCAACTCCCATGGCTTAACTAACTTTGCCATCTCAGATCCCTTTTTTCTCACTATCCTTGGGACTTCTAATATAAACCCTCCACACTTTAGGACCATGAGTCAATTGGGTCAAAAGCGGTCTTTTACTAACTTGTTCTGTATCATATTAAAATTCGAGCGACTCCTGTTTATGTGTAATTCATGCAGCTAATTACTTTTCATTGGAAAATGTAAATCCTATCTAATAATTCAACCGATCTTTTGAGAAATGGGTGTTTTTTTAGATGCTTATGGTTGTTTCTTGATTGTAAATTACTGCTTTGATGACCTGGTTTGTATTGAATGTTTTTTTTATTTTAATAATTCTAATCTGCTTGTTCTTGTGTTACCTTTGCTGCTGCTTCTATTGACCCCCAAAGGAAAAGAAATGTTTTAGCAGTTAATTTCTACTGATTTGGTTTAAGGTGGTGGGGAATTTGTTTACTTGTAGTAAATCAAACAAAAATTATATGAGGTAAATTTCCATCCATTTACAGTTGTAAAATATATTGTTGATTCTTTATTGATTTTGTATTTTTGCAGATCATAAAATTCGTAACTACTCTTCCTTCAAGCCTTTTCTAGATATCATTTGTGGAGCTTTACGCTTCTCACCTGATAAAGAAACCAACCATGAAGTTGCGACTCAGATCCTTTGAAACCAAAGAAACCCTTAAAATTGAAATCCGTAATCCTTGCAGTCTCCTGCATCTTAGGGAACTTGTCGCTCAGAAATTTCCTTCTCCTTCACATTCCTCTGCCATTTCTTTCTCTCTCAATCGAAAAGATGAGCTTACAACCTCTTCTGCAGAAGAGTCCATTCAATCTATCGGAATTGCCTCTGGCGATCTCATCTACTTTACTACAAACCCTAATGGATTTTCCACTGGCACCCAAATCGTCCCGCCTGTTGCTCCATCAGCACCCAAATCTGAACAATCTGAAAATCCCCCAACCCTAAATCACAATTCCGTTAAGCAAGATGAAATCCTAAACACTAAATCGAGTGAAACCCTGGACTTCAGTTCTGGAAAAGGGGAAACAATTGGTTTCAGTAATCTCAGTTCAGAAGAGAGTGCAGAAGCTATGGAAACAGATGATGACACAAATTCTGTCATTGATGCTGGGAAGTCTTTTTCAGTGCCGGGTTTTCTCAGGAAAGTTTTCTCAGAGGAATTAGGTGATGATGATGGTCTTAATCACAAGCTCTTGGGTATAGCAGTTCGTGCCGTTCTATTAGAATCTGGCTTCGTGGAGATCGATTCTGCTTCAAAATTGTTAAAGGGTCCTAACTTTGATGTTCCAGGGAGTTGGCATCTCGCCTCATTTTACTACACTCTTCCCGACATCATTAATAGAGGTAATATTGAATCTGTCAAGATCAAATTTCAGAACCTCGGGAAATATTGCAAGGTGTACGGGTCTTTGGTTAACGGAAACGGGGTGCACTCCGTACTCTTAGACGAAGACCGGCTAGTGCCATTTTTGAATGTGGTGTGGGCTAACTGCGGACAAGTGGTTGAAATCATGGAGGAAAACAATCAGGTTTCTAGCGTCTTACCAGAAAAAGAAGTATTCGAGTTCTGGAGAAAAGTGAAAGACGGGATTGCATTACCACTATTGATCGATTTATGTGAGAAAACCGATCTGGAACTTCCGCCTTGCTTCATGCGACTACCCACTGAACTCAAACTGAAGATTCTGGAGTCGGTTTCCGGTGTGGATGTAGCAAACGTGAGCTGTGTTTGTTCGGAATTGCGATACTTGGCTTCAAGCGAGGATCTCTGGAAACAGAAGTACATGGAGCATTTTGGGAATGTGGAGGGATCGGAGGGTGGTCGGAGTTTCAAAGAAAGATTCGCTAGAGGGTGGGAGAGTCGGAAGAGGAGGAAAGTTGGTGGGAGATCATTTGTGACCGTAATGAGAAGGCGGCCTTATGGTCCATTCGGTGGTGGTCAGTTCCCACGAATGATAGGCGGAGATTATGACCTATTGCCAAGGCTTGGGCTGCCTGGTGGTTTTACTCGACTCAGGAATGTGGTGCCACACTGTAATCTGGGTGGCTTAGATTACTAAAGTTTCTGGTGGCTAAAAACCTTTGAACATGTTTAATAATATGTTTATAATAGGCGTTGAACTTAAGATGTGCGTACCAAGTGTGTGTTTGTTTGTTTTATGTTGAATGTTATATATCGAGGTTATGAATATGTGTAGGAAATACTTTTCAGCTTCTTTTTGTAAGATTAAGCTTGTAGGTGTGACGGAGCTTAATTAAGCATTATCGTAGGTACTAGTATTACCTAAGGGGGCGTTTGGTTCGTCGGAATCTAATGGAATTGGAATGGTCAATTCCGTTGATCAAATTCCATTTTAATGTTTGGTTACTTATGAAATGGAATTGAATTCTAAAGATTCCCAAATTTGAGGAATTCACAATTCCTTACCAAATATGATGGAATTGAATTCCATTCCATCCAAAAGTGTTTAAATGACAAAAATAGCCTTCTGCTCCTATCAGACCCTAGCCGCTTATTTTTTGGATGTTATATGTAAACATTTGTTGGTAACAATATTTATATATGGGTAGTTGATGTGTCAACTTGTATGAATGGTTTGGTTTATGGTTGGTTGATTTTTTTTTCACGTTTTATGTTTATATATATTTCAATAAATGGTAAACATTTTTTCCTCATTCAATGTTAATTTTATATTGTTATTTGTATTTAAAAAAAATTAAAAAAATATTGGAGGGTATTTTTGTCCTTTTTCATCATTCCATTCCAATTATGTTGCAAACCAAATTAACAGATTTTAATTCATTAGACAGATTAAATTTCATTCCTGCCAACCAAATACTTGGTCAAACCTGATAACATTCCAATTCATTTGACAGATTCTATTTTTTCAGAAATCATTTTGCGAACCAAATGCCCCCTAAGGTTCTAATTGGCCTATCCTGTTTTTCATTGTGTGATTTTGATTTATGGTGGTAAATCTGTATATCTATATAATTATTTTTAGTTGTGTATAAAGTTCTAGATGATGTGACTCGTGAGGCATAACTTGGGTGTGATGTTGAGTCTCAAACCTTACGTGCCACAGTAAGTTCATGCTGATTGCTCACGTGCCACATGCTTAACATCGTACGTCGAAACGATGCAGAGGGATGCAAGATTTTATTGTAATATAGGAATGAGAAATTAATGTTTGAATAAAATGGAAATTACTAGTTGTGGTAGGATATTATTATTAATTTGAAGACCTTGTTGAGAAAGGCAAAAAATCGTATGAGAAGAGAAGTTACAGTGAGAAGCGTATAAATAAATCCAAACACTTGATCACTTTTAATCTCATGTCCATCCATTAATTGTGCTTTGAAAAGGATTGATCCAATGCATCTTGGTGCATCTCACTAGTGTTGACATTTAATTAAGATTGATCTAAGGGGGAAATTTCTTCTTATATTTTTCCCCATAACTTCCATTCTACTAAAACCCAATCCGGTTGAGGAAAGCTCAAAAATTTATATCAATATTGGCATTAAATTTAGTTTTTTAATTTTTTTTTGCTTTTAAATTTTAATATAAGTCAGTTGGATCATTTTTGTTGAATTTATCTATTCTATATTATAAAGCATTTGACAAAAACTCTTAAAAACCTAAAACTCAAGATTGCAAGTAGATTGTGCGTAAGTACAACTTATTAAAGCGTCATATCTGAATTCGTGTAATTAATTGCAGATATATGTAATCAAATACAGAATAAACATCTTATTTTAAATATACAAAATTTAAAATATAATTAAGATAATTATTGAGTTCTAACAGAATACTTAATTATTATCTTTATAAAATATTATATTATTAAACCAAAAATAAATTATTTCGTTATTAAATTTAAATTAAATTATAATAAAATTAAATAAGTTAGAGAAAATACATAAAAAATAAGAACTTTTAAATAGTTGATTTGATATTAGCATTGATATATTTTTTTTCAAATTTTTATGGTATCTTCAAATTTATATTTTATTCAAAAATAAAATTATCAATACTTTCTTAAAAAACACATAAAATCGTATTATAATATCGACATAGACAAATAATAAAACAGATCATTAAAATCTAGATGTATCTCGCTGCATTGCACGAGTACCATTTTAGTATTATTTAATGAACACAATATTTCATAAATAATAAATTTACGAAATCCTTTTTAGTTTTTTTGTATGTTTTTATAAAATGGAAACCGGAATAATATATCTTGGAAAGTTTTGCGATTATTTTCCACAAAAATCTTGTTTTCTCCTCTAACCATTTTTTTCACTTAATTAAATATAAACTTTTAACCTTCATATTTATTTTAATACCTTATAATTCATCCGTTATCTGAGTTTGAATTCTTTTACCAATTATAGTCTTATGCTCCTTGAAGACAGGTTCTGTATGAGACCGGGTCAGATGACTGGTAATTAGGTTTTTGTATTATTATATTATAAACATAATTATTTCAATGATTTGTTTTCATGAACAAAATTACCAAGTCCAACTGCCTTATTTTTAGTTCTGTTCTTAGTTTTACTATATCCGATTGATAGAGTCATACAAGATCCATTTCTGTTACAAGTCATATCAATGGAATATATATATATATATATATATATATACACACACACACACACACATTCGGTTTTTAATTATTCGAATTCGGGCTAGAAATTAAGGTATTGAGATGGGGAGTTCCGAGACGGTGTTGTTAGACTTTTGGCCAAGTATGTTCGGTATGAGGGTAAGAATTGCTTTGGCCGAAAAGGGTGTCGAGTACGAGTACAAAGAACAAGACTTGGCCAACAAAAGCTCGTTGCTCCTTGAGATGAACCCGATTCACAAGAAAATCCCGGTCTTAATACACAACGGAAAGCCCGTCTTAGAATCCAACATTATCGTTCAATATATCGACGAGACATGGAAAGATAAGTCGCCGTTGTTGCCTTCCGATCCTTATCTTCGGGCTCAAGCCAGGTTCTGGGCTGACTATGTCGACAAGAAAGTATAATCTCTTCTTCTTTCGCTAAAATTCAAACGAACATTGATTTATTGCTTTTATGATGCAATTGGCATAGCCAACAGGGATGTACCTAAAAAGTTTTTCAAACGGTGGCACCATTTAACCATAAGAAAAAAAAAATATAGGGAATTTTTTTTCCTTCAAACGGTAACACCGTTTGACTATAAGAAACAAATATAGAGAATTTTTTTTCAAACGGTGACACTATTTGACTAAGTAAACGAGACTAACAGGATTCAAATTGGGTCTGAGGTGGAATAAAAGTCTTAGAAATCAACTCTACCAAATAAAGCTTGTTCTCACTATAGTTTCAAAATACATATGGTGACTCACAACAAATTAATACGGTTGCACCGTTCACGAATCTAAATTTTTTACCCTTCAACGAAGAAATAATACGGTGGCACGTGCAACCTATACCACATAGCTGGGTCCGTCCCTGATAGCCAATGACACCTTTTTTTATCTTAAGAAAACGTCACAAGAGAAGAAACATTACCTGACCAGATACAACCCATAATGGTGTAAATAAAGAGATAAGAGTAAACCACAAGGGTGGTGTTTGATTGGTTTGAACTTGGTTCCAAAGGTCAAAAATACCAAGAGGTCTCAAGTTCAAATTCAAAGAGAAATAAAAAAATACCCTTGAAGACCCTAAAAACCCATATTTGGAACATGTATTCAGGTTTATGATGCATCAAAGAAAATTTGGACATTAAAGGGTGAAGAACAGGAAAGAGGGAAGAAGGAATTCATAGAGATTCTGAAGGTGTTGGAAGGGCAGATTGGGGATAAACCATATTTTATGGGTGAGTCCTTTGGGTATGCAGATATTGCACTTGTGCCCTTCTACTGTTGGTTTTATACATTTGAGACCCTTGGGAATTTTAGTATTGAAAAAGAGTGCCCAAAGTTGATTGCATGGGCCAAAAGGTGCATGCAGAGGGACACTGTTTCCAAGACTCTCCCTCATTCCCATCGTATTTACGAGGCTTTCTTGGAGATAAAAAGGAAGTTCGGTTTATAGAGTATGATCCACGCCAGGATATATATATATATATTGACAAGTTCAGTAAAAATCATAAAAAAAGGAAAAATTGAGTAACATCCCCATAACCATTTATCTGAACGGTATGTATATGTATATACAAATAATTTATAAGCACATGTACATACATGTGCACATGCATAAAAACCAAGAAACAACTTTAATTACTTGTATGTACATGTGCATACCATCTACATGAATGTTACTAAAGTGTTACTTGTAGTTTTATATTTTCTAAATAAATAATAAAAGCTATTTATGGATACATTTTTTTGAGTTTATTTTTATATATCGTCTTGCAATTATCAACTCAATATTACATGCACCAGAGGTATCAATATGTAAGACAACGATTTTTTAGAGTACATTTGGTTTGTGGATTCTGACGGAATCTGATGTTTACGATGGTCAAATTTCACTGACCAAATTCATTAGGTTATGTTTGGTTGACAACATAGCTGGAATTCAGTTCTCACAAAATTCCCCAAATTTTGTGAATGCATATAATAATTACAACAAACCAGTTGAAATTGCTACTGACAACAACTTTAGGAGATGTTTTCGTTGTACAATGAAATTTGATTGAATTGAAATTAAATCAATTAAAAGAATTAGAATTTAAAGAAATTGAAATGGAATTTAATACAGTTCGACTACACGTTTGATTGGCAGAAATTGGATTGAAATATCTTAAGGTGTCCAAGGTTAGTTGGCTGAATGTAGTTCGGGAGTTGGAATAAAATAATAATAAAATGACCAAAACACTTTTTATTATATTTTCATATTTTATGGCCATCAAAAAGATTGATGGTAAGCGTTCATGCCCGATAATTAAGTGCTTACCGGGTAAGAGCCATTACCCTCACTTACAGGGTAAGACTAGCTATCGATCCTTGTCTTCCCTCTTACCGGGTAAGATTAATTGAAGTTATTGAAATCAAGATTAATTTGTTAATGTATAATTGTGTATGTTCCAAGCTCAAGTCTGCATCATACCCAACACTCATCAAACTGAAGCTTAATTCAATAATAACTATTATTTGTATTTCATTTGGGGGAGAAAAATAAGATATTATATCTGATTTACGTAGTTTGACTGCTATTTCGTCTTTTAGTGTATAAATCGATTTGATAATTAACGGGTAGTTTTAATAAACATGGGACGATTTTAGACTAGTTTTTTAATTGTTTAAAGACAAAATGTCATGGTTTTACTCCATAAAATAAAACGCTTCTACTCTCACAACCCGTAACCCGTGAACACAATCTACCGTGACAACCCTTAAAACAATATGAAAGTACATGAAAATTTAAAATTTTTACCACTTTTTTTAAAACGCATAAATTAACCAACAAATGTTCTTATATTTTCTTATAAGAAATATATTTTTTATAAACACTGAATGTTAATATTCTATAATAAATTCTAAAAAACTAGGTTAAATCATCTCATATTTATTAAAAACACCCTTAATCGATATACAATACAAGACAAAATAGTGGTAAAAATAAATAAATAAATAAAGGATGGATCGCCCCCAGGGAAGATTCGGTGAGGTGGGGGGCGATCCCATATATATAGACAAATAGTGTTTGGTTTCCTAAAGTAGATACATGTGGGTCTCACACATTAATTATATAGATTTTTTTGTACTTTTCGTACTATTTGGTCAACTTTGAAGAGGATCGCCCCCATGGTCAAACCATCCCCCCCGGGGGAGATCCATATGATTATTTTGGCAATTTTCGTAAAAAATGACTATTTCGTTAATACATCAAGTATATTTTGGTCGTTTTGGTGATTTTCCCTTAATTTTATAGCATCATATTTCGAGTTTGAAACGGCATGATCCATCACCTTTGAAAGGTTTGTATCATTTCACCACAGACTCACCCTTTGCACTATTCATCGGGGATCGAGTGTTAGATCTGGACCATGTATTTTTAAAACATACATGGTCCATAAATAATACATGGTCATGGTCCACTTTATTTTCTTTTCTTAATTACTCATCTTTTAGTCGATAAAATTATCTTCATATAGCTTTACATGGTATAAAAGCGAATGTTTTTATCACCATGTATTCGACATTTAGGGTGCGTTTGCTATGCTGACGAGACTGGACTCGATTCACGAAAGTGGGTAGGCGGATGAAAATTCAGTGAGAGATTTTAGGGTTTTAATTTGACATGTGTAGTTCAGTAATGTACTGACCTTGTCTTATCTTCCTGATTTTTGTTCCACCTATTTGGTGTAGTTTTTTCCAGTCTAATAACACGTGCCATCGCATGCCCTTCTATGTGTCCGTCCATGGTCCTGGAAGGGTACTCGATCAACCTCCATTGTAGCCTCTGAACCCTATCTCAGAGCAGGCCAAATTTTGGGCCAGATTTATGGGGCCGTTTGTCCAATGCTTACCCGGATAAGCGCTTACTAAGTCACATCACCTTACCAAATGAATATGACGGAGACCAATAATTTTATCCGATAAGAGCAAAAACAAGAACCAAAAGTCTTACTCGATAAGTGAGGAGCGACGACTCCTACCACAGTTAGCGCTTACGAAGTAAATTGTTGCATATGATCCCGTTTTGGTGGATTAAAATCTTACCTGGTAAGTAAGTGATAGTATTGACTTTTACCGATAAACGCTTACCGAATAAGTAATCGGGTAAACGGCGTATGTGGAAATCCTTTTCAATTAAGTGTTTGAGAAAGAGTGTCCAAAGTTGATTGCATGGGCTAAAAGATATATGAGATGGTTTTGAAGTATTTAAAAGGGCTTGGTGTGTAAATCAAACCCTTTAATTTTAAATCTTACTAAATATATAATTGCTTTTTTATTTTTATTTTTTATATTCCCGTTATTTGTTTGCATAAAAGTCATGAAATAAAAATTTTGTATTATGTACGATCATTACAACAAAATCGAGTTTATAAGATGCTTCCAAATTCTAAGCGTCTTAATAGACCATTTTATAAGACTTAATTTATAGGACCAAAATATAGTGTCCTATCTAAAAGTGTTGTAATAAGCTTATATGACGTTTTTGGAAGTCTTAACAAGTTTTTGAGAATATTTTAAATACAAAATGTTTCATTAGCAACTTTATAGGACACTTTTGAGAAATTTTCCTATAAACTCAATTTTTTATAGGACACTTATTTTTATAAGACAATTTTTCAATTAGTGTTGTATAAGGTTGATAATGAGATGCTTTATCTATACTATATTACAAAACATTTGACAAAAATCTTAAAAACTATTTTTTATGCATAAAATACTGTATATTGATGTATATTACTTAAAGTCCAAGATTACAAGTAAATTGTCCGTATGTATAACTTATTAAAGCTTCATGTTTAATTTGTGTAACTAACTACAAATAAACATAATCAAATTCTGGATATGTATCTTATTTTAAATATAAAAAATCTAAAATAAATTTAGGATAATCGTTGAATTCAAAATACTAAATATTATCTTTATAAAAGAATTATATTATTAAATAAAAATAAACGACTTCATTATTAAATCTAAATTCAATTATAATAAAAAACAGAATTAAAGAATTACACAAAAAACAAGAACTTTTAAATATTTAATTTGATATAAAAATCGATATATTTTTTTTCAAAATTTTATGATACCTTCAAATTTATATTTTGTTCAAAAATATAAAAACATTATCGTTTTTTCGATACCACATAAAATCGTATTATAACATCGACGAAGATATAATAAAATGAAACAATAAAATCGAGATGTATCTCGCTGCATTGTGCGAGTACCCTTCTAGTATTAAAAGTGTTCTAAAAAACTTATTACGATGTCAAAAAACGTCATATAAACTTATTACAACGTCTTTAATATAACATTTTATTTTTTTTGTCCTATAAACTAAGTCCTATAAAGAGGCCTATTAAGATGCTTAGAATTTAAGAGTGTTATGTAAACTCAATTTTATTATCGCGAATTTAGTTCTTATAAACATTGTCAGTAATACATATGCAGAGAAATTATATCTGTTTTTTTATTGAATTAACTGTATTTTAACTAACCGAATATCTTCATGTGTAAATAAGCATCTATGTGAGGTTTGATATAAATGATTTGTACCCCATTTATATACACAAACATTTTTCCATTAATTTGATTTGTACCTTTATGTCTATCATCGTTACTAAAAGACTATTTATCAAACGTTTGTCCAAGTAAATACTTATCAATCACATTATTTTATCGTATGCATATGACAAGGACCAATAATCTTACCCGGTAAAAACGAGACAAGGAACAAGAGTCTTATCCGGTAAGTAAAGACGACGACTCTTACCATGGTAAGAGCTTATCGGATAGATTATTGCATACGACGTTGTTTTCGTGAAGTAAAATCTTACCAGATAAATAAATAATAATGTTGAATTTTTACCCGTAAACACTTATCAGATAAGTCTTTAATAAAACGGTTGATAAATTAATTCAATTAGGATATGCCAATCACCATAATTAATGACTTTGGTAATAAAGTTCTGGGCATTAATTGTTTGTCTCAGTGTTACGTCACTATCGTTTTCTTTGAAAAAGGTGCCACTTGCACCATGATGATTTCATTTTGGCTACAAGTTCATAATAGTTTTTAACTGCAATATCACATCGCTACTGTTTTTGGATACACTTTTGTGTGGAGCAACTTTATGTTATGAATAGAGGGACGGAATACAAACTTTCTAATCATAGGATTCTGATATATATATATATATATATATATATATATATATATATATATATATATATATATATATATATATATATATATATATATA